GTGTGTGTGTGTGTGTGTGTGTGTCCCTGGGCTCTCATAATGTCACTGTGGGTTGTTTCTTCTTAACACATGCAAACAACTCAAATCACTTTAACGAGCCTTCTTCGTCCCTGTCTCTCCTGATGGGAGCGCTCCCATGATGCAGCCTGCTTTGCACACTTTCACGCAGGGTGGCTCAGTGCTGAACTGATGGGTGCTCGGCTGAGATTTCATATCACACACCACACATCCAAACAATGATGCAAACTTTGGACACACCACAAAAGCTGCATATATTGTCCTCAAATGGCATGTATGGAATTAAAACATGCAGCTTTCTGCCAACAAGGGACAATACATCAGCAAATATTCACTATTACCAACTTAATTGGAGTTAATTAATTTCAAATAATGTCTTCTAAACATAGAAACATGTCATTCAGTTTCTCAATGCAGTTTTTTAGAATTTAATACATGGTAATAAACTGCTCTACTTACCTAACCCTGAACTCACATCACACTTTTTTCTATATAGTTGATTATAAAAGGATTTTTCATAGAAGAGATAAACCGTCGCACAAGAAACCACAAAGAGAATGAATAATAAAGGTTGATTCCTTATATTAGCTATAAGAGAATCTATTGCAGACAATTGCCAAGCATTAGCAGAGTTCTGATGGTCAAAACAATCTATATTCTTCTTATATATTCTGTCAACTGTGAATGCTTAATTAAATGCAGTGTTTTTATATTCTTGCTTTTATATTTTTATTTTATACTACTGCTCCTGCTGAACAGTTTACGCAATCTTTTTGCATCTTTTGTGTTATTTCAGATGTAGAGCAGTTGCTGCAGAAAACAAGCAATAGATCTTTGTGATTCGTGTCAAAATTATATTGGAATTTTTTTAAGCACAATTAATTACATTGCATGTAGTGTTATGCAGTATGTACTGTACTGTACTTTGTATACAGGGAAACACGGTATACTTTAAGTACCTGACAGAAAAGTATTATTTTTTCAATAGGTGAAACAGTCGAGAGTGAATGCTCTGTCATCCCCGGTGATAATTTGTAGA